AACAGGCCAGGAATGTTTATGGTTAGTGTCAGAGATAAGGATCTACGGTTCCCTACATCATAGTCATCATAGGTCAGGGTTTGGGGTTTAGGCTCGAGGGTTTAGGGTTTGGGAAGTTGTGTTCGGATCTCAAATCCTGCATCCTGCGGTTTTTGGGAGGCTTGCATCCATGATTGTACTACATTAGGACCCTCCTCACATCAAAGGCCTGACAAATGGCTGCAGAATCAGGGTATTAGATCAGTTTCGGGGGGAGAAGGAGGAGGATTCAGCGCTCAGGGCTCTGAGCTTAAGTAGTCAGCCTTGTGAAAATCGATGCGAGAATTTCTGGAAACAGCGAAACAACCCCTGGCTTTCTAGTGCTTAAGGGGCGTGGGGCAGTCCAATAATCGTTAGATAATCCTGGATCATAGTCCCATTTCCCCCTCAGCACCAGTAAGAAACCTGTGTATGCGCAGATCGTGTCTGCGCTTCCCAAAAACGTTTAGGGTGTTGAGGGTATAGGGTTCTGATCCCCAGCTGCTTGATGCTCCTCATGCTGTCTTGGGAGACCTCCAGACCCTAAACCCCAAGCACTAAACTTCAAATCCTAAGCCCTAAATACCTAAATCTTTAAATCCTATATAGTCGAACCATAAATCCTTTCATCCGATATAAGCCTTGAATCCCTAAGGGAGGGGGCTTAAAAACCAATTAAAAATGAAACATAAGGATCAACAGAAAAAATAGGGATTGAAGAAGCACAGAATACTGGATTTGGTAGTAAACTCAATTGTTGTAGCCTCCCAAGCAGGGAGCAACAAAACTACAAAATATTGGAGTCCCGAGCAGGAAGAGGAAGGAAAGACGGAAAGAAGGAAAGAAATACTGAAGGAAGGACAGAAAGAAAGAACGAGAGAAATAAGTAAATAGACAAAAAAAGAAAGCACAAAGGAACCAAAGAACGAGAAAAAAAGAAAGAACGAACTACCGAGAGAAAGAAAGAAATAGCAACATAAAGAAGGAAAGAAAGAAATGCAGACATAACGGAATGCATAAAGAACGAAATAACGTCAGAACGAAAGAAAAAGCGAAAGAAAGAACGAAAGACAGAACCAAGAACAGGAAGAAACAAAGAAACAAAGACAGAATGCATCTTTGTCCAGCCTTTGCAATTGGGAGGAGGGGCTGCGCCGCCCCCAACCCCCCCGCGCTAATTTTACAAAGCACATTCGCACAAGCATCTGTCGTTATGTTCCTCACAATGATTTGTCATAACTTTCCTCCGTACTTATTATTATCGTTCACATCATTGTCACATTCTTTGCCACTTGTCATATTTGTTCATCATTCTCGTTGTGTTCATCATCTCTCATAGTCTCTCATGTTTTTTTTTTTAATGCCTTTCAGAATTCTTCATCATTTTTAATCATGTTCATTACTCCTGATTTTCATTCTTTTCCGCGACCTTCATGATGTTGCATCATTTTCATGGTACCCATTACTTCTTCTGACTTTTCAGCAGTTGCAACATTTTCATCATTTTAATTTGTCGTCACATTTTCTTTGGTTTTTATTTTCATAATTGCCCATCATGTTACATCATGTTCATAATGTTTCATCACTTTCATCTTTTGAAAGGCTACTTTCCATACCTTTTCATTACTTTCATCCTTCTGAATGATTCCTTATGGGTGTGCATCATTTTTTGTTTAAATCATTTTCACTGCGTTCATGGTTCTTCTTGATTTCATTATCATTTCAGGATTTTCCATGATTTTCACTAGTGTTCATCGTTGTTCATAAGTTGTCATGATTTCCCATCATGTTTCATCGTTTGTCAGCATATTCGTTACCTACCTATGATGTTCGTGTGTTGTCATGATTTCTAAAAATCTTTCGCCACTTTTTATGATTCATCATCGTTTTCATTACTCCCATTCTCTGTTGACCATCATGTTTCATCATTTCTCATCTTTTGTATCGCTGTCTTTATGATTTTTCATCATTTTCATAATACTTCATCATTGTAAGCGTTTTTCATCATAGGTCACTAGCCTTCTGACTTTTCATCTTGTTCCGGTTCATCATGTCTCATATTTGTTGAATACATTTCATGGTAATGTGCAGTTTTCATCATTATTTTTTCATCCATGCATCATTTCACGAATCTTCATCATTCTCCCCATTTTCAGAATGCTTCAGTGTTCTTAGTTATTTCCTCAGTTTGATGATGTTTCTTCAGTTTTCATGATTTTCATCATGTTTCATGAGTTTCAGTTACTTTTTTTGTTTTTTTTTAATGTTCCCTGGTTTTGGCTTCGCTCTACTATGCCAGCCACTTTTTTTTCCTGATCCTTATTTCGTTTTGATCCTCACCTTTTACTTTTTGTTGATCCCAATTATTGTTGATCCTCCACCCAATCAGTAGAATGATCAGTATTCCGTTAACTAGTCTACCCATCATAGTCATATCTTCTACTGGTATCTTATCTGATGCAAGTTTCGGGCCCTGTTCAGCCAGCCCTAAACCCTAAAC